CCGTGCCGTGTGCGTGATGGGGGGGGGGGGGGTGTTTGTCTCTCCGAAACTGCGGGATGGATAGAGATTGTTGCCGAACTTTCTGATGACTTCCTTCATCCCTTTTTTGTTGTGAAAACTTTGCGCCAGGTAAACACATCGCGGCTGTTCCACCTGCCAACTGTCTAAAAGATTATGTTTTGTACTCCGGCGAGCACTGAAGCAATGTCATTTATTCCCCCCCGCCCCTCTCTTTTAACACTTGTGTGTCTTTTTTCCGATGCACTGTACTCCTTTCAGTAGGAAATTGGTTTCCTGTGAGGCCTTGCATAACTGCCTAAGCTGTAAAATACCAATCAGCTCTGAAGGCAAACTCGAGATGACTCACTCTTGATCATTATTCATTCAGCGTGTTGGTTAAGTCTGGAAATATGTGCCCGAGACATATTATGCCCCTTTTCAACACAATTTAGAGTTCGCATCTTAAAATGAATGAAATAAAAATCAAAAAACATTGCTGATGTGCTTTGCTAAAACATAAAGAACACTTCTGACCACTTGTCACAATGTTTGAAATTCTGCCATTTTTGGTGGGCGCGGTTGTGTCACACGCCAATCTCATTTGTGACCCACCTACTATTTTTCCTACAAACACAAACAGCAAATTTGGCGACTTTTTTGTGGCGTTATTGGAGACTTGGAGATTGGGAGACTCAATCCAAAAGCAGGAGGTGTCCAGACTGCAAATGAATGGCGCAAAGCCACCATTGCTTCACTCAGCCTTGCTCTCCAGATGTTGTTTGACAAAGGCGGCTGGAGGAGCCAAGGCGACCAAACGTAACAGCCTCCAACACCCACTCCACAAATCATTTAAAATCACACCCTTCTGTCTCATGCTAAATCCGAGTACAGCTTTTGTTCCCGTCATGTTATATCATATGCAGGCATTTAAAAACTTGGACAGACACTCCATAGATGCAACTATCTGCATACGAGCAACTGGAAACTCAATTTTCCACAGTACGTCGCATGTCAAACGTTTCAACGATAGTGCACCGTTGAAACGGCAGAATCGAAAAGAGCGCCCGAGATGAAACAAGTCGCAAATCAGTCAGCGTAACGCAACACGGTGTCCGGGCAAGACGACACGATGGGCTGAACTCAGCACTCGAGGCAAGATGCCGCCGCCCCACCCCCACCCGCCGCTACCTCGCTATTTATGGCACCTGTCATTTGTGCGCGGTGAGCGGCAGCAATCAGATCAGCTGCGTTTGATTACACACCTCGGCGGCTGAAAGTCGAGCCTCCTCGCCATTAGCCGACTCTCAGTCATCACGGGAGGGGGTGTGGGGCGGGGGGACCCACTCCAATTTAAAGCTTTAGTTATAAATGAGTATTTATTGCTTTTTATTGAGCCGAAAATGAACGTGGCTCGAAGTCGAGAGCCTAATCGATATGAAGCGAGAGAACGTAGCGCGGAGGAACTTTGTTTTCAGAGTAATTCTGCAAGTAATTTTATTCCCCAGTTGGGAACAAGTCTATTTCTGCGGCATTTCCAAGAAAGTCCGCTTGTGACTTTTCCAGTCGATCTCCGTTGGAGCCTGCAGATTGCCACCGTGGCTTCCCCCCCCCACCCCCCGGAGAGCTTCCTGTTTGAAGCCTCGCGATGGAGTTTTTGGTTTCATGAAGTCAAAACGCAAACGGCTCGATTCATGTTAAAATAGCAACCGTAACAGAACCTGGAAGTGTGTTGGTCCATTCACGGTTGCAACAAACGTGAACTTTGCCGTTGGGCTCCTCGTTAAGGAGCAGCAAGCTGTGCAACGCGTGCCGAAATATCCAATAGTTGGACGTGTGCATTTAAAAGTTTAGAAAAGGTTAGGTTGACCTGTAAAAGTTAATACACATTTGAGGTTCATCCTGAAATTTCACCCGAAAGCCAAACCCCCAACTTTTTTGTTAGCTAGCTGCTCCCCTGACACCATCGTGGCAGTGGAACAGCTGTTATTCCTTCCTTTATAAATGACACCCATACTGCTCGTTGTGTTGTTTTATAAGCAGCAAGGTGGATGCATTCACAATAACGGTCCGCAGTGCGACATAAACATCAGTGCGAAAATTATAATGCAAGCGTTTCCGAGCGGGTAACAGCAAAGCTAATTTTGATCAACGTGTTGACGTCAAAAGAAGAACAAAGATATAATGTCATTTGGAGATCACTGATTGAATTCAAAACCCCAAATACAAGTGCAGACAAACAACAAATAACAGCTGAGAGTTCAGGATAAACATTTATTGCA